CTCAATCATAAGAAATGACAGTGATCTGGCACCTCTTATACTTTCCTGGATTAAACTTAGGCCCATTATCCAAAGTGAGGCACCACAAGAGCAGAAGAATGGGAACCATATGTACTCGCCATCAAATTGGTACTAACTGATCAACACTAGGGTGATCACATGACAGAAATACTCTCTAGGGATTAGGGGGATGGGGGGGCAAATCTACAACTAAAGGACACGGGCAGCACTAAAGGGAGGGAAGGGCATGCCTTTAACCCGCATTTGGGTGAGGCAAAGACATAAAGTGTAACTATAATGTTTGTACCCTCACAATACCCTGGAATAATTAAAAAAAAAAAATGAGCAAAAGTTTGAGTAGACACTTTACCAAAGAAGATATACAGATGGCAAATGAGCATACTTTCATGTGTTTAACACATGAAAATCATTAAGGAAGTGCAAATTAAAACTGCAATAACATACTACTATACATCTATTAGAATGGCTTAAAAAATAACAATACCAAGTGCCAGCAAAAATGCAGAGCAACTGGAACTCTCATACATTGCCTTTAAGGACACAAAATGGTATGGCCACTTTGGAATACGGTTTGGCAGTTTTTTATAAAGTTGAACATACACTTAACCTATGAGCCAGCAATTTCACTTCTAGGTATTTTCCAAGAGAAATAAAATCTTATTTTCAGACAAAAATCTATATACAAAGTTTATAGAAGCTTTATTCATAATTACCCAAAATGTAATACAACCTGATGTCCTTCTGGTAAATGGATAAACAAACTGAGCTGCATCCATAACATAGAATACTATTTAGCAATAAAAAGGAAATTTGCTAAGTTTGCTAACTTTGGATGGATCTCAAAGCATTATACTAAGTGAAGGAAACCAGACTCAAAAGATCACATACTGTATGATTCAATTTATTAGATGTTCTGGGAAGCAAAAGTATAGGCGAGTTTAATGATTGCCAGGATTTGGAATGGGGGGAGGGGTTGGCTATGATTATATGACTATATGTGTTTGTTAATATTTATCAGAATTATACATCAAAAGAATGTAAATTTTGAAAATTTAAATAAAAAACTTGATTTTGTCTTCTCAAAAAAATCTTTCTAATGTAAAATAAAACAAAGATACGTAAAAAAAAAAAAAACACATCCTTATGTGGTCTGTAATTTGCTAAAAAAAACAAAATGACAACAACAAAAAACTTGACCTCACCATCTATATGGATAGATCCCCTAATCAGTAATATACCCTTCAGGGGTGGCCAACCAGCACTTAATCAGAAAGACTACATTCCAATGGAGGTTAGCATTAAGCACTGCTGTTACTTCTATCTCCAAATAACAGCAGAGGCTTTACTAATTTACATACTGAATGTTAGAAATGGGATTTCATTGGTGGAATTTGTGATATTCAAGATATATATTGATGAAAATATTTGAGAGACTGTTCCTTCTACCTCTGCAAGAAACTGGTATCGTCCTTCATAGCTCACCTTTCAGAATAGCATTCTAGGCTTAATTCTGAACCATTTCTGATGTCAGAAAATTCTATTTGTATGATGCTGACTCCAAGGTTAACTGCATCCTTAGCAATTTCCCTCCAGTGAACCTTTCATCCAAGGTGTAACAGAGCAGCCAAGTGGATAGAGGAAATGGGACTTCATCAAGCCTCCAACAGGTTATATAACCTGTGTACCCACTTGCTGTCAAAGTTTCATTCTCAAATACTTAAAGAAAATGTTTCTCTTCTAAGTATTACAATTAGCAATAATTTCATATGATTCAATCTAACAAATAATGAGCATATGTCCAAGTTTTACTTAACTCATTAACAAAGGAGCGAACAGAATGGCAGACCTAATTTCAAAAGTATAGAAGACATTAAAATTTATATAATTAGTGGGAGAAACTGTTGCAATAAAATTGCTAAACTGTATACAAAATTCATTAATGTTCTATTGTGTAATAAAACCATAACCTTTGAGGTTATCTTCTCTACTGAGCAGGGGGAAAATTTATCATCTTTTCAATTTTCTACAAGTTAACCTTTAACTTTGTAGGGTTGGAAAACATTCAAGACCTAATCAACTGTGAGTCAAAGCTAAATTCCCCAAGAGAGTAAAAAATATTCTGGCTTCTTTTTGTGTATTTCCGACACTCAGGTGCTGAGTTTGAAGGCAGACACCAAAGACAACACCAGATAGTAACCAGGACTTCTGAGTGTATTTGAGTGTGGGCAGATGGAAATCAGAGGGCAGTAAACATGAAAATTCTTTTAGTTCCATTAAGAAAGGCCGTAGATTCTCCTGCTGAACATTCCATCATCAAAGTTGGAGCACTACAGGTAAAGAGAGATTGATATGTGTTCATAGGAGATGCAGCTTATCTTTGTTTCTCCCATTTCACATCCATCTTTTCCCAACTGCCTATTCTGTTGACTTCAGACTCCACCACCAGACAGAACAGCCTCACAGACTGTTTAACCAGCTCTCACAACTGTGTAAGGCCAAATCCCTATAATAAATCCCTTATGTATATATCTCCTAGTGGTTCTGCTTCTCTGATCAAACCCTGACTGCTTGGATCCACCAAAAGAAGAGTTTTAACACAAGTCACATCTGCTTTTTATCCTGGTGCTGATGACATAGTAAAGTAATTCCCAATGCAGGGAATCGCCTGAAGTCCAAGTGGGTCCTTGGCTTCACACAAGAAAGAATTCAGGAACCAGCTGAGAAAGTATAAAGTGAAAGCAAGATTTATTGATAAAGTATAGAAAATCTACCCCACAGAGTAGAGGCTAGTTCTCCCTACAGAGGAGAACTGGCCTCTGTGGTCTCCAACCCAGGCTGCGGCCCACTACCAGTCTGTGGCCTGTTGGGAACCTGGCCCCACGTCACTGCCTGAGCTCTACCTGCTCCTGGGATGCCTTCCTGCAAAATTGTTTTCCATGAAACCAGTCCCTGGTGACAAAAAAGTTGGGGACCACTGCTTTAGCCCCTCTATTTAAGCAACAGCTTAATTATAGGCTAAACAAGGGGAGGAATATTCATGTTACTTCTTGGAAAGGGCAGTGTTTTCCTGGAAATGGGGTGATGCCCTCCTTTTGACTAAATATGGAGAAACAGGAAGTGTTGGTCCCAGATGCACAATGGGAGTGGGAGGTTTCCTTAGACATTTTCATGATAATTTTATGGTAATAAGGGTATAACGAAGCTGCAAGGTCAAGAGGCTGTCAATTTCTCCACCATCTTGGTTCTAACCAGTTGGAACTTGTCTTGCTTCCATCTTGTTTTTATCAGGGTAGCTCAACTTCATGACTCAGACAATGCCTGCATAATTAACAATGCCTGAAGCAGTTCCTGCCAGTTCCCTGACTCACTCAGAACACAGGTGGGGCAGACTAGGGCACACATTGAAGCTGGGAGTCAAGCCCAATCTACCTGAAGCATTAAGCCCAACTACCCAGCCTACCCTGATCTATCCTACAATAAATGTCTGTTGTTGTAAGCCCCTGAATTTTAGTGTGGTTTGTTATACAACATCATGTTAGGTTTGCTCAGCGTGGGAATACAGAAAGTATGTATAGGATGGAATGCAGTTAATGGAAAACTTAGATAGTGATCATAAGGCCTATGAAACAATAGCAGCAGGAGTCTGGAGAGTCCAGAGGTTGTAAATCTAACTCTGACCACAGATGGTTGTGGTGACACAGGGGTCCCCAAAACTGGATGTTTGAAAAGAATTTATTACAGTGGTTGTTCTGGCCCAGTTGCTCACTCCCCCTGAAAAAAATCCTCTATAAAACGCAAGGCTCTCGCCTTTCTCATGGTAGATGCTCTTTTAGGCCTCCACCCATCTGCACCCAGATGCTCAAATAAACAGCATTTTGCTCCACCTGAGTGTTCATGTATCTCCCTCTTGGCTCCAGACCTAACACGTTATTGTGGCAATAGCTGACTAATACAAGAAATGCTTTTCTCTCTGCCATTTGTTAGTCAGCAGATCAGCATTCTCCTGGCTAAGCAATGGAATTTCATTAGATGAGGGCTAGAGAAAATTACAATTGCAAAAGAAAAAGTACATGAGAAATTTTATATATGCAAGGTAGTATTCAAGATCCTTGCCTCTGATGATTATAGCTCAGAATATAATGGAAGCATCAGGCTAAAGAATAGGAGATATAGACCTTATTAAGATCTAGCTCCTTTTGATGAAGCCCTCAAAATTTTTGGTAGAATGAGGCAAAGTGGAGAGGGGAGAACAACCCTCCCTTCCATTTGAAACACAAGCAAGCAACCTGAGAGAAGTTACACTAATGACATCCTAATCTCTAGCTGTCACATTCGTTCCTGAGAGGGGAAAGTTTTGGGTGCAGGACAGAGAGCAGATGAGGGCACCCAGGGGATAGGCAGAGAAGAGAAAAAAGAAGTAGTGATGTTACAGCAAGTGTTACAGCGGGTGGTCCCCAGGACAAACCAAGGCACGCGGAGAGGGAGAGTCAAAGTTTATTTGTGGGCGGGCTTAGAGGGGTCTCGCCCAAATTCTGAGCCCCGTCTACCCGATTTTTCCCACTTTCGTTAAGTTGGAGTGGTCCGAGGGGTGGGGTCTCAGGTGGCTAAGGTAATAGGTTAGTTGATATGCCAGGTAATGGGTTAGTATTATGTTGATGCGGGTCTTCCGAGAGGGGTGGGGGTCTCAGGTGGCTGATGGGCCAAGCAGTAGATGGGGGTTTTCCTTATCGTGATGCTGACCTGCTGACCGCAAATGTCCTACCTCGTGTGAAGGCCCTTTATGGAAAAGAAAAGGGCAATCATTTTTTATCTGTTGTCATCAAGCACTAGTCCAATATATTTCCGATTAAGATACCCTGCCGAGTTTGCAGGAGGCGAGAGTCTGACATAACTTTTTTAAATTTTCAGCAATCCAGGAGCCGGGTTTAGAGTAGTCTTCGCTGCACAGTTGCCGCTTCCTAGACCTTTGGTTTCCATAGCTGGAATTTAAAACAGAGCGGAACCGCCACCTCCGCGTTTCTGAGAGACGCCGCGTCAGTTGGCTGAGGCAGGTCGCGGCCGCGCGCTTGCTCGGGGTCGTGATCTCCAGGAGACACCGGAAGCGGGGCGCGCGCCTGAGCTGTCGGTTCTGGGAGGCGCTGTTCTGCAGGCTGCGCCCTCCGCGCTGCGCCCTCCGCGCTGCGCCCTCACCCCAGGTGAGCGGCCCTGCGCGGTACCTCACGCCTCGGTCTCGGGTTCGGCCCTCAGAGCCGAGGAGTAGGGAGACCCCTACGAGGCTCCGGATGTGCTCGGATGCATCAGGGAGCTAGCACCCTCCCTGGTTCAGGCTGGGGAACGCCTGGAGTTCGGAGGGGCACCGGGCTACATGAACCTGAGCAGGCGTCTGACCTTAAGCCTCCGGGAAGGTCCGGCTGCGTGGCCTCTGAGACGGGACCCTGTCTCTGGATTAGGTATACCATTCTTGGGGACCGTGCTTTCGACGATTGGACGAAACCTGGGGCCACGGGTGGTGTGTGAATCTGAGATTTCGCTCCCCGTTTTGACAGATTAACATGAAAGAAGGTCAGTGTTTTCCCAAATGTTGATCGTGACAGGTGTTTATCTCTCCCACCAATTGGGTCGTATGGACTCAAGCGTGGAAAAGCTCTTTGCAACTGATAAACCTGGAAAGTTTTTCTTTGGGCTAAGGACTACGTACACGTACTTAATACCGGATTTGGAGAAGTCTTCACTCATTAAGCCCACGTCCTCCTTCCACCTGTTCCCCCGCACCCATGTCGTTTTATTTATCACCATCGAACATACTATATACTTTTCATATTTGTTGTGTTTATTGGTTGCCCCAGCTAGAATGAATGCTCCCCGATGGCAGGGATCTTTGCTTTGTTCACTAACATATTTCAAACACCTAGAACAGTTTCTGCACATGGTAGGCCTCTAATAAATATTTGTGGATTTAATGAATGAATAAACAAGTTACTCTGGTTACAAGTCTTCTTGATTGTGTGGGTTCTTCGCAGCATTTGCCTTTTCCCCCCTTATCACTTAATTCTTATTTCCCAGAGTTCCCTCAGAGGGCTGCAGTTGAAACTCCAGCAGAAACAGGGCAAGATGGATATGGACAGAAGAAAGGCTGCTGGCCAGCTGTATGCCTCCTGGGGTCAGGAGGGGTCTGTGATTGTGAAGGTCAAGTTGGAAGAGGATCATCCCAGGAATCAGGGTTTCAACCTTCCTGAGAACCAGTCCCCTGCCTGGGAGATCTTCAGGCAGCAGTTCAGACACTTCTGCTACCAAGATTCCCGAGGACCCCGTATTGCCCTGAGTCAGCTCCAGGACCTCTGCCATCAGTGGCTCAGGCCAGAGACAAATACCAAGGAGCAAATCCTGGAGCTGGTAGTGCTAGAGCAGTTCCTGTCCACCCTGCAGGAGGAGCTCCAGGCCTGGATCCAGCAGCATAATCCAGAGTGTGGGGAGGAGGCAATAACCTTGCTGGAGGATCTGGAAAGAAAGAAAAATGTACATAAAGAAAGACATTAGTCTGATGTGGTTGTGGGGAAGCTGGGAGCAAAACGTGATCTCAAGTGTGAGGCTCTGAGAGAGCAATGGGAAGACCCACCATTCAGCAGAACAGAGCTTTGTTTGCTAAGCTAGCCCTGTAAAAAGGGGAGGAGTGGGCAACATAGCAGATTCGGGGGCGGGGTGAGTAAAGATACTGAAGCTGGTTTATGAGCATCATGCTCCTTACTTTACAGGTCACTCAATTCTCACAGCACAGAGAGAGGTAGGTGGAATTATTCTGATTTTTCCCACATAGAAACTGAGTTCAGAGAGGTTGTAAAACTTGGCCAAGGACACATAGCCAGTAAATGAAATGATAGAAACAAGACTTGGTCATACCTTGCTTTGCTTGCCTTTCTAGCTGCTTCTCAGTGTCCTGGGAAGTAAATAAGGTACTGGTTTCTCTTTTCTTCTTCCTAGTTTCTCTTGCATATATTTCTTGTGGACTCCTTCCTGAGATTTAATTCCTGTTCAATTCATGATATCCTTCAGCCTTAAGGAATGCTGTTTATCTCCAGGTTTCAGCCTGTGCTCTGGAACAGAAAGTCCTTATGCAGACAATGACCATTCAGACACCAGAAGAAGAATCTTCATATACCTGGGTGCAACCCCCAGAGATCCAGTTCAAGGGCAAAGGACCTGAGCCCCACCTGGCAGAGGAAAGAGGTGAGGCAAGAATTTCTTTAGGGGATTTGGACTGAAATGAACTCTGAATGTGTTCTTTTGTGCAGTGCGACATGTTAATTTCTTGTTACAAGGGTTATTAAAGGATATGACAAGGATGACATTTTAGGTGATAATAATTTAAAAGGTCAGAACAGCCTCAGTAATACGGTCCATTTTAAATATCCATAGTTGAATTTTCTGTGTATAGTCTGGTAGCAAATGTTACTTTCAATTATTTTGATGTTATATCCTTCAGTAGATCCTGATAGGATATTAACCTATAAAGCTGTATTGATTTTTTAAAAAGATACCTTTTATTATTACCAAAGAAGTATATATGCATTGTAGAGAGTTAAAAAAAATACAGAATAGCAAAATAAGAAAATAAAGCTTGATATTCTACCACCCAGAGATGATTGATGATTTTTTATTTTATATCTGTATATCTTTTTGTATGTCCATATATCTGTATGTGCATGTAAATATACATATACACACATACCTTTTACCAAAATGAGATCATATTCTTTGTGCTATTTTATAACCTATTTTTTTTTTTTTTTTTTTTTGAGACAGAGTCTCACTCTGTTGCCCGGGCTAGAGTGAGTGCCGTGGTGTTAGCCTAGCTCACAGCAACCTCAAACGCCTGGGCTCAAGCAATCCTACTGCCTCAGCCTCCCAAGTAGCTCAGACTACAGGCATGCGCCACCATGCCCGGCTAATTTTTTCTATATATTTTTAGTTGTCCAGATAATTTCTTTCTATTTTTTTTAGTAGAGACGGGGTCTCGCTCTTGCTCAGGCTGGTCTCGAACTCCTGAGCTCAAACAATCCGCCCGCCTTGGCCTCCCAGAGAGCTAGGATTACAGGCGTGAGCCACCGCGCCCGGCCTATAACCTATTTTTTTTCAGTTAATAATCTTCCCCTTTCCCTATCAATACATTTTAATGTTACCTAAAATCAGTCCAAATTCAAATTGGCCCATTTTTTCTATAATGTCTTTTAAGCTAATTTATCCAAACCAGGGCCACACACCACACAATACATCTGGTTGTTATTCCTCTTAATTCTTTTTTATTCTAGAACAGTCCCCCTGTCTCTTTTTTTCCCCGTAATATATCTTTTTGTTGATCCCAGGCCAGTTGTCCCAGCCTTGGAGTTTTCTTTTTTTCAAATATTAAAAAATATGGAATGCTTCACGAATTTGCATGTAATCCTTGTGCAGGGGCCATGCTAATCTTCTCTGTATCGTTCCAATTTTTGTATATGTGCTGTCAAAAGGAGCATGAGTTTTCTGTTTGCTTCCACATTATGTCATTTACTTTGCTAGTCACATCTCCTATATTTCCTGTAAACTGGAATTTAGATCTAAAGGCTTGAAGGATTAAATTAAACATTTTGGGCTAGAATTAATACTAGGTACTAGGAGACACTGATATCTGGATGACTCACTATTAAATCACTGTTTTAGGATGATGAAAGTCTGATCCCGCCATTAAACAGCTAATTTTTCCCCTTGCAACTAACTGTGGTATCACTTTGGCACTATGTGAGTGGCCAGTTTCCCATCAACAAAATACTTAATGTTTGATAATTCTTGTATGGGTAATCATTTTATTAAGGGTTACAAAATGGTTTTATAATTCTTTTATTCCTTCACATTATTAACTGGCATTATTTTTTATAGTAGAGCTTTCCCTAATCAAATATGTCTTATGTCTGTTTGGGAACATCCTGCTAGGAAGTCATGATTAATGCTTGGTCTTTCCCCATTATTTAGTGATTTTCAAATTAAAGGAGTGATTTAACAGGCACTTCAAGTGGTGACATGAGATTTTAGGATTTTATGTTAATATCATTACGGACTTACAGATTTTCATTGAATCAGTTTCAACCCACCATAGTCATGACTTTTTTTAATGCTCAAATTGGCACATCTTTGGCTTGTGTGGACATCTTCAGTCTTGCTCCTGTATCTGTGTGCCATAACCCTATTAATTTTTGAATGTTTGTTTTCTGAATAAAATGTTTGTTCCAGGTTTACCTTATACTTTCTCTAGTCTCAGGTCTGGTGTCAAGCATTTCTGAAAGAGCCTTGGTTCTTTTTAATGGAGAATGGTATTGGTGAACAAAATCTGGGTGCTGGGAGTGTTCTTTATCACCAAGGCAACACTGCTTCAACATTTCCTGCACAGATCTAGATGGACCTTTTTTTCTAAAATGCATGCATTCATATTGATGTATTCAATTCAATTTCAACATTACAGTGTTTCATTTTTCTATATTTTATTTAATTTGTTTCTGCATTTATTTTTGTTAATTCCTCATTTTCTTTTGGCTTATTTATTTATTTATTTTAAGTTGTAGTAGATTATATCGGAGGTGATCCTAGGAAGCACAAGGAGGGAGAATTGAAGTAAGAAAGGGAGAAAAGCCAATAAAGTATGTCCTTTTTCATTCTCCCTCTGTTTTCATCCTCCCTCTATTACTGATACATTCAATGCTCTGAATATTTCATTGAACATTGGTTTAGATGAATCTTAAATGTTTTGGAACATAGTGTTTTTAGTATTATTTTCTAAAAAATCTGAAACTTATGTTTATATTTTGCCTTGAACCAGTAATGGGCTGAAAGTTTTGAGATTTTCAGGTGGAAGGGCTTGTTTGTTTTCTGATTTTGCTATTAATTTTAGATTTATTGTGTTGTAATCTGAGAATGTTTGTGGTGTTTGTATCTTTTAGAATTTATTGTGGTTTTTTTAATGGCCCAGTATATAGACAATTTTCATTAATGTTCACTGCGTACCTGAAAAAGATATTTCTCTATTTTTAGAGTGTAGAGCCTGACATATGTATATATCCATATGATTTAATTTATTAATTTCATTTCTTTTTGTCTGGTGTTTTTCTAGACAAAGGCCAAAGTCTCTATTTTTTGTTTTTCTCTGTATCTTTTTATATCTTCTATAAATTCTGCTTTAGAAAAGTTACTTTTCTGTTATTTTCTGTATAATTATTCATATCTGTTATGTCTACATTATAAATTATATTCTTTAACATTATAAAATACTCTTCTTTGTCTCATTTTATGCTTTGGCCTTTTTCTGAAATTGAGATTTTAATGAACTCTTTCTTTTTATTTGCATTTGCTTAGTTTACTCTTGTTCGTACTCTTTTGGTAACTTTTCCCAATCATTTTGTTTTAGTTGTATTTCTTGTATACATAATAGAGTTTGGTTTTGCTCTGTGATCAAATCTAATTTGATCTAAGGGATGAGTTAAGCCTATTTGCATTTAATATGACTGATATGACTGTTATGTTTGATCTTAAGATAGTCTTATGTTTTCTGTTTTGCATGTGATATATACATATGCAAATTATAAACGTAAGTATAACCGTATATACACATACATATAGACACATATGTATATGCTTTTCAATGTGTGGTTTGTTTCCCCTCTATTTTTTTTAATTATAGTAGTTCTTATAGTTAGGAAACTTTGCATTTTTATACTAGCAATGCATTAGTTATCATTGCTGCTTAACAAATTACCACAAAGTTAGCAGCTTAAAATGACACACATGTATTATCTCATGCTTTCTTAAGTCTAGGGATGGCTTAGCTGGGTCCTCTGCTTCAGGGTCTCTCATGAGGCTATAATCATGGTATTGGCCAAGGTTGGGATTTCACGTGTGACAAGAGAAGGATCCACTTCAAACCTCACGTGGATGTTAGCAGAACTCAGTTCCTTGCAGGCTATTAGACAGAGGGCCTCAGTCTCTTGCTAACTGCTAGCCAGAGGTTACCCTCAGTTCTTTACCACATGGGTTTCTCCATATGGTGGCTTTCTTCATCAACATTAGTAAGGGAAAATGTCAATAGAAAGAGTCCACTAGCAAGGTGCAACTTGCAATCTTTTGTAATCACAGAAGTGATAGCCTGTCAACTTCACCACATTTTATTGGTAACTTAACCGTGCTTTATTCTTTCTCATTTCCACACCTGTATTACTACCATTCCTTCTGCCTTGACTGACATATTTCTCTAAACACTAAGTAAAGACATAATCATAATATCTTCTGCTAAAATTAACCTAAAGTAAAGATTAACCTTTCCAGCTGTCTGTCTCTTAAACTACTATTTTTGGGTTGTCTTTTCTCCTCAAGTTTTATTGTCTGTTGTTTCAGATGGTGGTGTGAAGACTGAGAACGTGATGTTAGGTACGAAGCAGGAACTTTGTGAAGAAACAGAACCACATAGAGAGGGGTCTGATGGACCTAATGAAAGTATGTCTCAGCACACAAAATACAGAGGAGACAGTGAGTCTAATGGTAGTTTGTAAATGCAGGATGGAGATGCCACAGATGAAAAAATATATAAATGTGATGAGTGTGGGAAAACCTTCACCTGGATAAGAGGCCTTCATATGCATAGGAGGATTCACACTGGGGGAAAACTATACCCATGTACAGAATGTGGAAAGGCCTTCATTAGACATGCAGAACTTACCCAGCATCAGGGGCTTCACAGCAAGGAAAAGCCCTATAAATGTACAGAGAGTGGCAAAGTCTTCAGTCAAAAGGCAGACCTCTTACAACATCTTAAAATCCACACTGGAGAAAAGCCCCATCAGTGTAGTAAATGTGGCGGATGTTTTAGTCAGAGATCAGTTCTTATGAAGCATCAAAGTCTGCAAACTGGAGAGAAACCTTTTGAATGTATGGACTGTGGGAAAGCTTTCTGCCATAGTTCAGACCTCATCAAACATCAGCAGTTCCACAACAAAGAGAAACCTTATGAATGTAGTGAATGTGGGAAAGCCTTCAGGCAGCATTCACACATTATTGAACATCAGCGAATTCACAGTGAAGAAAAACTCTATGAATGTAAAATGTGTGGAAAAGCCTCACTCAATATGCAGGACGTAACCAACATCAGAGAATCCATACTGGAGAGAAACCTTTTGAATGTCCTATTTGTGGACGAGCCTTTAGCCGGAGCTCAGAACTCATAATACATCACAGAATCCACTCAGGGGAAAAACCTTATGAATGTGCTGAGTGTGGAAAAACCTTTAGTGTGAGCTCAACCCTGATCATACATCAGAGGAGTCACACTGGGGAGAAGCCCTATAAATGTGATGAATGTGGTGAAGCCTTCAGTCAACGCTCGGGCCTTAATAAGCATAAGTTAGGAGGCAAGCATGGAAACCCTCCTGAGCCAAGAAAATATAAATGTGATGAATGTGGAAAGAACTTTACTTGGTCAACTGGTCTGAGGAACCACAAAAGAATCCACACCGGGGATAAGACATACCAATGTCCCAAGTGTGGGAAAGCCTTCACAAGGGGAGAGCATCTTATTGAACACCAGGGGATTCACAACAAGGTGAAGCTCTATCAGTGTAAAGTGTGTGGCAAAGCCTTCAGTCAGAAGACAGGTCTTAGTCACCATCTCAGAATCCACACAGGAGAGAAACCTTTTGAGTGTTCCAAATGTGGGCAAGCTTTCAGCTGGAAGTCAGATCTCAACAAACATTTGAGAGTCCACTCTGAGGAAAAACCCTACAAATGTGAAGAGTGTGGGAAGGCCTATAGGCAGAAAGCAACACTAATCCAACATCAGAGAAGCCACATTGTGCTAAGTCCTGAAAGTGGGGTGAACAGGGTAAAACCTGCAGTGGAAGCTCAGCCCTGATTAAACACCAGAAAATCCACAACTGGACACCTTGCCCGGGTGTTTGGTGACAACTTCAAGTAGAACCTAAGATTTTTGTTGTTGTTTTTTTTTTTTTTACTGAGATAAAATGTTTCTTGAACATCATTATTTAAAGAACATCATAGATGCCACATTGAAGAGTTTTTATAAAGATTATAAATGCTGGAAAAATTGAGAATTTAGGAAAATAAGCATCAACAAGGAATTTACCTGTGATTACCTTTATTAAATGCAATGAAGTGTCAGTACAATAAAAAAATATAAGGGTAGCTGGTAAAAATTATATTTTTCAACTGAACTAATGGGCTTTTTGCTTTTATTTTGTTTTCAACCCATTTTAATTTCTAACTAGCTTTAGCATAACCTAGTGTTGAAATTACTTCTTTGACTACCAGTGGAGGATACTGGAATGTCTAAGGGCTTGGAATGTGCAAGGTGAATTGTCTCTGTTTCTTTCCCACTTTGGCTACCTGACCAAGCCTTTGGCCAGAAGAGATATACTAGGTGGGCTACAGCTCCTTCCCAGTCCCTACCCCATAATTTACATTTCCTTGTGAATAAGGGATATGCAATATTCCAAGTAGTATGGAGAATATAGACATTTTGGCCCCTAGTATCTCAAAATCTAGTGGGGTCATTGTGTCTAAGGCCCAGGGGATACATTTCTCATTGTGAACACATCTGCCAATGGAGATAGACAAAAGGGAAGAGGGAAAAACCAAGCCTTTCGTTCTAACATTTTCACCCTCCTACAAATTATATTTACACAACTGAAACTTATTTCAGCTTCAGCACTATCTGTATTCCTCATTGGTTAATGATGTGAGGGACTTCTTTGCTGAAGCTAATAACAGTTTTCAAACACTGGAAGAATATTTCATTTTTTTGTGCTGTACATATTCACGATATAACAGCTGTAAACATGACATACTTTTGAATTTAATCTGTATTATTAACAGTTTCTCTAACACTTCCTTAATCTAGACAACCAACAAAAGAATAAACCAAGCCTTGATTTGAAGCATTTGCCAATTTCTGTGGCATAAGTATTAATACTCATACTATGGCTGATTACCTATATGAAGTCATGGAGCTGGGAAGAGATGTGCAGTAACATATGATTATATATTATTTCTACCATGTAGATACAACAGACACAACCTTAAGAGCAGAGAGGCTGGGCATGGTAGCTCACGCCTGTAATCCTAGCACTCTGGGAGGCCGAGGTGGGCAGATCATTTGAGCTCAGGAGTTGGAGACTAGCCTAAACAAGAGCCATAGCCCATCTCTACTAAAAAATAGAAAGAAATAGGCCAAACAACTAAAAACAGAAAAAATTAGCTGGGCATGGTGG